TGAAGAATCTAAGCCTCTCACATTTCTTCTAGAGAATTCGAAGTTGTTCTTCAAGGATCTTCGAAGATCTTCGAATTTTCCAACTCCTTTCTTGAACCCTCTCCTACATTTTGGCGACTCCACTGGGGAGGCGGATTGGTTAATGGTCTCAACGAGATCTGGAATCCACGCAACTCCAACAAGGATCGCAGGAGAAGATGAAGTTCACCAGCAAGGATCCTCTAATGGTGGTGATGACAGGACCATGGCTCCAGATCAACCACTTTTGCTTGAAGCCATTCAAGGACTTCAAAATACTCAGCAGGAGATTCTTACTACTCTTCAGAATCTCACTCACACTATGTTGGTGATGAGTTCTAACTTTGCACCGGCGCCAAACGAAAATCAAACAGGTGGTGGAGTTATTCCTGCCGGAGCACAAAATCAAATCCAAGGAGAAGTAGGCCCCAATCAGCCTATGGCTCATGGCAACACGGCCACAGTAACACATGCTCAAACCGCAGTAGACGGCAGCAGTTTGCCCATGCCCGGGCTCCATGGCGTGCCAAGCCAAGATCCAATGGTGACTAGGGGAGTTTCTGGTGTAATGAATGGCGCTCCGGCGACTGTTGGTGTCCAGGAAAACATGAGGAGCATGATGGTGCAAAAGGGAGCTTTACCCGTACCTAATCTTGTTACGCCACCAGTAAATGTTACTAAAGTACCAGTCGGGCCTCCTTTGGTACCAACAACAAATCTGCAAGCACAACCTGGTATAGCAGCGCCATGCGATGGACTCTACGGGCCTCAATTCAATATCCCATCACCAACTGGCTTGTCTATAGGCGCTGATGGCCAGTATCGTCAAATGTCCTCACCAATGATGAATCCGCAGCACCAGAATGGCCAAGTCGCCCCTAGCTCAGTCTTCGGGTCCATAAGCCAAGTTCCGGGAATACCACCATCAAACTCTCTCCCTCAACAGTTTCTCACTCTCGCCGATGTGCAGGCCATGTTTGATCTTGAACGAGGCAAGAGGACTTTACCCTCTTTGCCTGATCCGGATGTCAAGCCGCCTTACCCCATTGAGATGCTGAGCTATCCATACCCTGAGGGGTATACAGTGCCGAAATTCATCAAGTTCAATGGAAAACAAGGAAATGCTCGAGAACATGTTGTGCGATTTATCGAGACTCTGGGTATTCATGGTTCAAACCACGTTCTCCGGCTGAGAGAATTCTCTAAGTCCCTCACCGACCGAGCATATAGTTGGTATGTTAATTTGGCCCCAAACTCTGTCCGAAGTTGGGAGGAAATGGTTAACAAATTCCACTCCAAGTTCTTTCAAGTGGCGGAGAAGGTGACCACACTTACATTGTGTAAAGAGAAGCAACAAGAAAGTGAAGACATCCTTGACTACGTCAAAAGGTTTCAGGACAAGGCCGTGGATTGTCATGAAGCAGTTGAGGAGAGTTATCTGGTTCAAATTTGTCTAGAAGCAGCTCGGAACATTAGCATCCCTCAGGCTCAGGTACAAAATGTTTCTAGTTAACCACAAGCTACCCACCTTCTCGGCATTAATAGAAGCAGCTCGGAACATTAGCATTCCTCAGGCTCAGGAGTCCGGATTTAAAGCCAAT